AAAAATCACACCCAAAAATGCGCCTGTCTTCATGGTTTAGACTTACATGACTGAAGTGCTTTCTGAAGTGAATCAGCGATCAGCGTGCTTAAATTACATAGATGAACTCTGTTCCTACTCAAGCTATGGAAACATGAATTATTAACATGGATTTTTAAACATGCTAGAGAAGAAACTGCATGCTTGTACTGTTGTTAGTTTAAGAGTTGTCGGGATTGCAATTTGGGAAGAGCTTACAAATGGAACTTTCCATGTTGATTTATCCTTGGAAGAACTGAAGTCCATGGCATTAAGCTTTGGGTTATTAGAATGTTGATAGAGGGGAGGATTAAGAAAAGGGCAGGTTGTGGGACACGAGTGACACAAAGACCAGAGGCAAAATAGTCTTGTAGTGACTCCAGTTCTAAAAAAAATGGATTCAATAGAGAAATCAGAACTTACTGCAAGGTGATTCTGTGGTCAGATGAAGTCAGTTCCCAACTGAGATACTTCCTCTGCACTGGGATTGAAGAAGCAAGTATTTGAACTAGTGCTACTTAAGAATCAATTGAAACAAATGTAAGTTCAAGGCTTTCCTGCAGAGGCAGTGATATGATATCTTAGAGCACACAGAGCGTGAGGACTGACAGTCTCGATGGAATCTTCATTCCTAAATGTCACACGTGACCCCTCTGTGCCTATGGTAAAATGTTTGCCACCTCCCCTTCCTTGCTGTGCTGGTGCTGTAACTGCGTTAGCTCTCTTGCAGGAATTTGACTTCTGAGCAGCAGTTGATGTGTTCCACCTTCTGGGTTAGGAAATGATTCTCTCCATTCTCTCCTTGTTATGGGAGCTGATGCAGCAGGTGCTGGGAGCTTAGGTCCCATATAGATCAGAGGCATGATGTGGAAAAATTGAAGAGCAATCCTGATCCTTCCTTCTGTGCAATACAATGTGGTTGTGCTGCAAATGGGATTAAAATGGCTAAAGATCATCATGAGGGGTCAACTTTTATCTCGTTAAAGTTCCACTTTGTTTCTGACGCCAGCTGAAAGGCTGCGAGTGTTCCCTGGTGAGCAGGAAGGCAGCACAGCAGGCTGTGAGCCAGCAGCTCCGGGGGCCTAATCCTTACTGATGTGGCATGACCTTGGGCAAGGCATTCCTGTGCATCTCTCTTTTGTAATCTAGAGGTCGCAATTGTCTTTATCTGTAGATTTGAGCATTAAATTGTTGTTAATTTCAAGATATTTTGAAGATTACAAGTACTGTGTAAGTTTAATCCCTTGTGCCTGGATAGTAAATCTGGCAGATCCTGAAAATGGAGGAGTTCAGTGCTCCTCCTGGGCACCAAAGTGAGGAATGTGACAATAAAGTGACTCCAGTTTGTCCAAAACAGATTTTCAGGAAATAACTCTCATGGATTATTTGGGGATAATTCCCAGCTCTTCAGAAGTGGAGGAACACAAGCTGAGCCCGCTGGCAAGCTGGGTGCTGCGCTGGGGAATGGGAGGTTAAGCATGGTGCAAAGGGAAGTACATGGAACTGTACTGTAGACTGGAGGTGATGGAGGTAGGTATGAGTTTGGATGTAAAAGCAGTGGTATGGAGCTGTGCTCAAATTTGTCAAGAGAATAGTTGTGCTAACAGGGCAGGCAGGGTAGATAAATGATGGAAATGCGAATGAGATACCATAGCAGCATTTGAACAAACAGAAAGATATTTAAGGGTTTGGGATTTTTTTTCTAGATTGTCACCCTTGAGATGCAGGATTCTGAATTCTTGGTTGTTTGTTCGTATGTTTGTTTATTTCCTGCTCAAAACTCTCCCTTGGAAGCACAGTTCCATGAGATGCCAACCACTTCAAAATGAAAACACGAGCAAAAAAATAAATAAAGAAGTATTAATCATATTAATCAGCTCTAAAACAGGGTCTGCAGCTTGGCAGCATGCTCTGTCTGGAATCTCTTTTAGACCTTAACTGGTAGAGTGTAGAGCTGATGGTCACCAGAGAGACTGTGCAGCTCTAAGTACAGTGCCTGCATAGTGGTGCCTCGGGCACTGGGGCTGGCAGTTCCATTAATAACTGCTACACTGCTCAATTTCAAGGTCGTTCAAGGGGGGAGTTGCCCATAAAAAAGACTTGATATCCATGCTTATGCTTGTTTTGGTGCTTCCTGATCAGCTTATGCCTTGAGAGGTGCCTCTTTTCTATGTTCTCTTTGGCTTTTTAGTACTTTATTGAGCTGTTTTGGAGGATGGAGAAAGGAAAATACAGAAACACTTGTATATCAAGAAAAAACACACAGGTTAATTAGTGGTTCCTGACAGATTGCAAATGCTTTATGATTTATGATGGAACAGGTCAGCAGAGTATGGACTCTTACAAAACGCATGGGACAGGCTGAGTAAGCTTGATGGCTGGACTGGTTGGCAGCCTGGTGAAGTACAGATAATCCCTGGTAAGTATGCTTGATAGTTATCCTTATGTATACATCTTCCATTGCTCAGGATCATGTTGCAATTGTAAGCAGGTGGCAATTAGAAGCATGCTGGCATTGCTACCAGAGCTCCTATGTTTCTCTGGGGAAAAGGGGTTTTTCTCATAGTGCTGCAGAATTTGTACCAGTGTGTAGCAGCATTTTCTTGTTGCAATGTGTGTTACACTGCCTAGTCAATGCTACCCACTGCTTATATAACACTCCTCTGTCATGTGCTGACCAGATGACAGTCATGCAGACAGGCATAAGCATCAGCATTGCAAGAAGCAGATGAGTTATTTGGGGCACTTTGTCATAAAATTGCATCATAACAGTAGGAAAACCTTTCAGATTGAATAAAAGAGTGGGATACAATGAAAGGCTTTAAAAGCACACCTTGGGTTCCATCGAGGAGCATTTCTGGCCATATGTAATGTATACTGTACATCTTTAATCTGCAGTATGGCTATAGCTTGTCTGAGTTCTGCTTCTCTACTTGGGACTCCGGTACAAATGTCTGCTCCAGGGATGGATGCTCTCTGCTGTATTCCTGTGAATCTCCACGTGAACCTTTACTTCTGTGCTGAGCTGATGCTTCTCTGCTGGAAGCACCACGTCACATCAGTCTGTTCATTTCCTCTCTTGTCCTTCATCTTTCAGCATCAGCTGCATCAATACTAAAAGCTCTGTGTGGTGAGCTCACTGTGAGTACATTTTACAGGTGACACACTGTGGCAGTTGGGAGCCCGTGAGTTTGGAAACAGGACGAGCAGTGAGGCCAGAGCCTTCAGACCCTCCCAAATGAAGGAGTTCTCTGGCTGGAGCTGCAGCAGCCACCATTTGAGTTGCAGCAGCAAACTCCTCTCTCTGCCTGTGTTGCACTTCTTGCTGCGGAGCGCGGTGCTGCCTGGATCCTTCGGCTCCTGCAGATGCAGATGGCTAAAGGAAGCTGTGTGGGCTGCTGGCTCTCCAGCCAGCCTGTCCCCGCTATCTCTTCCCATAAACACTGGACCCTTTGTCTCAGGCTTTATCGTGCCCCTGCCATCACAGAGCCCTTTCTGTGCTCTCTTCCCAGCACAGCCACTGTGTTCAGGGGTCTTTTCTTCAGCTGCTCTTTGTCTCTGGGTGTTTATTGTGCCTGCTGCAGAGTGTGTTTGTTGGGAAAGAGGAGGAGGGGCTCCTGTTTGTGTGGGTTTTATAAACCCAGTGCAGTCTTAAAAGAGATACTGAGCAAACTGGTGGTGATGATATTAACCCATCAGTGCCCTGCTTTACTGACTGCAAAACTGTGCTAAGGTTTCCTCACTGTGTGGAGAATGTTTTGGGAGGCTGGCCGAGTTGTATTGCTGTGGGAGGCAGCCATGCAGCAGGGGGTCTGCTCCCCTTTTGGTCTCAACAGACCTTTGATTTTCTGTGAATTTTGCATATGTATGTCAGCAAAATGAGCCTTCCAAACGTGGGGAGACGGAGCTGATTGTAGTATTTAAGCCCAGAGTGCTTCTGGAACTTGTTCTTACTGCAAACGCTGCATTGGTAGCCTCTTCTATTTGCTTAACTGACTTCTGCATCCTGTCTACGTTGCTACATCAGTCAGTATCTCTTTGTTGTACCATGTTCCAAAACTTTATGGCTCTATACTTAAAGGCTTTCCTTTTGAGGAAGGTCCTGAAAACAGAAAATTGAACATAATTCTTTTCTTTATTCAGTTTGTTAATGCTTTCAAGGTTAGAATGGCTGTTACTGTTTATTCAGTACCTGTGATACGGTATTCATTATTCAAGTCTTCTAGAATATCAGCTGCTCAGAACTTTTCCCTTGTAATCACCTAGTGCTTTGTTACTAGGTTTAAAATAATGATACTAAATAACATGAGAAAGGAAAAGCATCCATTTTCTAAGCTCCTCTTGTTCTTCCATGTTAATGGAGAATGTGATTTATAACGTGAAAAATCTTTTGTTCAGCTCTGAGAAACTGTTGCAATACCACTGTTGGAGTCAGTTTTCTATTTGAGAGTCCATATGTATGAAAGTACAGTCAGAATAAGGGTTTCCAACATTTTTCATGATTCTGTCCTGCGTAAATGGAGCGTAATGCAGATACATTAGTTTGATGTGTGATAACATAGTCGTGTGACCAGAAAATAATATATTTTATAATCAAGGATCATATTTTTTCCTACACTATTGAAACTTCAGCCAGAAACTAATAGGATTAAACTTCTCACAAAGTGTAGCATAAAGAATGTTTTCATTTTCAAATAATTAGCATCCTGGTACTGGGGGGGTTGCAGTTTGTGTATCACGGCATCTGCATGTTCTATTATTACACTGGGAAGAACTTCTGCAGATTGTGTTCCCTTTGCAGGAGGTAGCAGGGGAGGAAATGCAAAATAGTACAAGCCTTTGTGAAACTTGAATCCACACTCATCATGACTAAACCTATTCAAACATTCAGGTGTTTTTTTCCAAGACTGCTCTAGTACTGTTGTCGTGTGATTTGTTACTTTATGAACTCGCTCATTTTGCCTCATCTTTTTCTTTTCAAGGAACAGTTTCAACTGCAAAGCGCACAGGGATTCCAGCACCCCGAGAAATATCATCCTCTGTCTCAAGGGAGAGAGCTGTACTGCGTGGCCAAGCCAATGCGAGGAAAACTCAGCCCAGCCCCACCTCTTCTGCCACACCGACTCCTACCAAACATGTGCGCCCCGCTAGCAAGTCCAAGCAAGAGAGTGAAACTGGTGACAAGGCTGTTTTGGAATCTCAGGTTAAAGAACTCCTGGCAGAAGCAAAGACAAAAGATTCTGAAATAACCAAACTCCGTTGTGAACTGAAGAAATGCAAAGAGAAAGGGTCACTTAACCCTGAAGGGATGGGTGCTTCAGACCAAAATGTAGAAACCTTGTCACCTGTTGACATAGATCCACTGATACGGACCCTGCAGGAAAAAAACAGGACTTTTCAAAAAGAGCTTGCTAGCCTGGGAGAAGAAAATCGTGTTTTGAAAGAGAAATTGCTTTATCTGGAGAACTCTCCTCTGTCAGACACAACAACAAGCAGTGGCGGTGACAGCAGCCTCCCTACCCCAACTACCCAAGAATCCAGCTTTGGAAGCCCATCAAAAAATGTACTGAGAGGTGAAACAGTTGAGCACAGGCAGCGAGTGAATGGAGGCACGCTGCGCAATTCCGCCTCTTCCAGCAGCGATGTAACTAAAGCTTCCTTGTCACCCGATGCGTCTGATTTTGAACATATAGCAGATATACCTTCCAGGCCAGCATCCTCCAACAGCAACCACTTCAAAGGTTCCAAATGCTCCACTACAGGAAGTTCTCCAAACAATATTAGCGACCTTTCTGTTGCATCTCTTACGGAGAAAATACAAAAAATGGAGGAGAATCACCACAGCACAGCAGAAGAATTACAAGCCACTCTACAGGAGCTGTCTGATCAGCAGCAAATGGTGCAGGAACTGACGGCGGAAAATGAGAAGCTGGTGGAAGAGAAAGCTCTCCTGGAGACTTCTTTTCGCCAACACAGAGACAGAGCAGAACAGCTGGGTCAAGAAAATGAAAAGCTAATGACTCTCCTCCAAGAGCGATCCAAGAGTGAAGAAAGCAGAGCTCAGGAGGGAAAAGTCCTCGAACTGGAACAGAAGTGTGCAGAAGTTCTTGAAAAAGCACAATTTGAAAGAGAGAAATTGCTCAACATTCAGCAACAATTAACCAGCAGCCTACGAAGCTTGGAAAGGGAGCATCAAGATGCCCAGCAGGTGATCAAAGGCCTGAGAGATGAAAATGAAAAGCTGCTTAAACTTCTAGAAGCGGAACAGCAGAGCAACAGCACAGTGACAAAAACTCTGGAGGACTGCAAAATTGCATTGGAAGGTCTGAAAATTGAGAATGGATCTCTAAAAACCCAGCTGGAGAATGAGAAACAAAAGGCTGCAGAAATCAATGCCATGGGATGCACTACTGACAACTCTGAGGTGCAAGAGCTGCTGAAAGTAGCCCATGCAGAAAAGGATCAGCTGGAAGCATCTTGCACTGAGCTTAAGCAAGATCTGCTGAAGGCAAACAGTGAACTGAAGCATGTTCAGGGTCTGCTATCTAAGGTAAAGCATAGCAGCTGTACAGTGTGACAGTTGTTTATCTGTCTTTCCACAAATAAGTAATTGTTGGTCTGTGAATTGCTATTGATCAGCTGATTTCAGTACTAATTATTTCAATTGCATTCATTACTGGTGAATGGAAGCTGGGACAATTACAGTATTTTCTATTTCTTTTGCTATGTGTGTGTTTTCCCAGGAATAACTGTTAGGAAAACTGTGCTTGTAAGTTCAACATTGATTTCATCTATTATCTTCTGCAGAATATGCTAGTTTTGGTGAGCAGAAATACACTTACCAAAATCTAAGCAAAAAAACAGGTTAATAAAAATGTACTTTGACATTATGTCAACAAATATTAGTGAAAGTTACTCTTTAGTCTGGGTAGAGAGGAGGACCTAAGTAGTTATCAGCAAATATAAAAGCTTGATAAATGATAAAGGACAAGCTACAAAGTAGTGAATTATAGATGGTACTGAGTACAAAAACACAAGAGCATGAGTTAATACTCAGGGAAGTTGATATGTACAGTGACGATGTACAGTCAAGCTCCAGATGGGATTATTTTGGTAAAACTTAAGGTATTTTTACAAAACTGAAAAGTATTCTGTTTGGAGATAGGCGAAGTAATGGCAAAAAATAAATATATTTTGGAACAGATTTCTCTTTGTCATTTGGTGGCTTGTAGCTTTGCTCCAAGCAAGCTTAAGTCAATCGTTGGTTCTATTTTCTGTCTGATCCTGGGTGTTCCAAAGAGAGTTGCAATGCAGAGTGTCACAGAACAAGCATTAATATGGTGCCAGCCAGTGATTAATGTCCCATCACTGCAGAAGGAGTGATAAGCAATGTGTGCAGCCTTTCCTGTACGGGGAAGGGGTCATGGGAAGAGCTGTAGAGCTGGCTAGCTGCAGAGGAAGAGAGCATTGCCAAAAAGCACCTCAATGGTTTGTGTGTTTTAGAAAATCCAGGTGTCCTTTCAGCTTAAATAGGTGACCACAGCAAACAGAGTTGCAGAGGAAGTTCCCTGGTGTTTTTGAGTGCTTGCTAGTGCTGGAGTGTGTGAAGAATAAATGAAAAACTGCTGAGTTCTCAGACTCTGCTCTGAACTTTTATTGCTTGGTTTTGAAACCACAGATTTCCTCCTTTTTGCTCTTCCCTTGAATTAAGCTGTTTTGAATCAATGGCTATTTGTCACACCCAAGCAAGACCGCAGGCTTCTGTAAGGCTGCCCTTCAGTCAGCCTGTGCCAGTGCTGCTTGCTGAGTTGGCAGCCTACATCTTGCTTTTGCATAGGTTGTTCATGCTCAGGGGTCTCCCCAACGCTGGAAGCATTGATCTGTGGGCCTGAGCCAACAAACTGAAGTACAGCATATTCCCCCTTCAGTAATTCCAGCTGTCCTATATCCAGAAAATATACTTATCTGTAGCAGCTAGCTCTCCCACATGTGCTTCACAATCCATCAGAAAGGCGTGTGGTAAAAGCAGCAGAATTGTTAATATGGACAAACTGATTACTCTCATCCCTAAGGCAGCTCTATCGTTCTCATAATATAATACATGATTAGATTTGGAGCTTTCCAGAAATACCATTCTTCTGTTCATTACCTGCAGAGAGTGGTTTGGAATAACAGTCACCCAATAGAAAACTTCATTTCCTTCCTAGTATCTTCTTTTGTTATCTTTATGTCTGGGAAAGAGCAGTGACATTCATAGCTCGTGTATGTTTCTTGGAACTGTCTTGTTAGTGTTCAAACTCAGTTTTCACAACACAGGTTCCATTCTTAAGTTCGTGACGTAGTGAAATATCTAACAAGTTATATCCCTTAAGAAATAAGGACAGTCAAGCAGTTTTCTTTCCTTATTTCTAGGCTGAGAATGAGTGTGGTCAGCTGAAGGAGGTGTGTGAGCGGCAGGCTGAGCAACTGAGCAGAACCAGCCAGAAGCTGCAGGAAAAAACATCAGAGAATGAAGCAGATATAAAGAACCTAAAGGAGACAATTTTCGAGTTGGAGGACCAGGTGGAACAACATCGTGCTATCAAACTCCACAACAACCAGATCATCAGTGACTTAGAAAGTAGGTGGAGATGAAAAAAGGATTTAAGTGAACTAATTCTGGAGGCTCAGATGTGGCCAGAACCAGTAGGAGGAGGAGGCAGTGTGACCCAATGTGTGACAAGAGCCTCACTTCAGAATTGTGTGTATTTTGACCAATCCTTTCTGTTCGTGTGCGAGTCACTGTTTTAACAGTTAGTGCTATGGAAATATTACAGACATTTTCCAAACTTGCTGTTTAGCGACAGATGTATCACCCATTCCAGAACCTGCAGTTACTGGCCTTTTGAGGAGCCTCGGGGTTAAACTGCTAGTAGGAACTGGGAAGTCGAGTTTGCTGCTGTTGTGTGGAAGAGGAGCTGCCACCTGGTGGAATGAGTTGCTCATTTCACTTACCAGTATTAAACTGCTTCCTGACCGTGCACTCTGACAAGTGATCCTGCACTTGCAGCTCTGTTAATTCAAAAGCCTGCTTTAGTATCACAAAATAATGAACTGCTTTGGAGATATTTGAATAACAGATCTGTTGTTGATCCTATTCCTGATCCACCGACAGAGTATCATAATTTCTGTTTAATCTCTGTTAGTGACGTTACCAGAGGCAAAATCAAATAGGCTTTTCTTTTTTTTAACTGTTTCTAGGTAAAACTATGAAGCTGGAAGAGCAAAAACAAGATATAGAGAGGCAGCTGAAGGCTCTGACTAAGCAAATGAAGGTAAGGCTCAGATGCCATGACAAGCTAGGCTGAGCTTTTATTGTAATACTGGATTTCATTCAGGCATTGCAATTTTTACAGCAATTATAGAAAGTTATACCTCCTTTCGTTCTCTGTTCCTTGTCTATAGCTGATTCTTTGGCAGTGAAGTAAACTATAATCTATTTTTTTCTGCCAGTGAACTTCTGCTACTTTGGAGCATGTTCCTGCTTCCTGAACCATCAGTAGCAGTGAGCTCCTTTCAGCAACAATCCTTGTAGTAGTATCACAATTCTGAATGATCAATAGCTATAGTAAGGACCTTGATTCTACTTTCTGAATTGGAATTGGGAGCTTAGGGTCAGCTGTCAACTTCTTTGGCAATCTAGTCAAAACTGTAAAGACACTGGTATTTAGTTTGACCTCAACATCTTGAAATTGTGCTGAAATCCTGTTCTCTTTTGATCACTGAAAGAGAGGCCAATAATTAAGTGCTCAAGGGGCATTTTTACAGCAGTTTGTGGTTGTAATTATTCTTTCTAGGAGGATACAGAAGAATGGAAACGTTTTCAAGCTGATCTACAGACAGCAGTGGTTGTAGCCAATGACATTAAGTGTGAAGCCCAGCAGGAGCTCCGTGTGGTAAAGAGAAAGCTTCAGGAGGAAGAGGAGAAGAGTGCCAGGCTGCAGAAGGAGCTCGATGAAGTGAAGGGCAACAACAGGTCGGTGACTTACAAAGGCCAAGATCTGATCTCCGTGACTGCTAACTTGCATGCAGACAGTGCTTTGTCAATAACTATTCATTGGCTTGGATGTGTATGTTGTCTGTTTTTAACTCTTCTGATAGATTTTGTGGTCTTTTATTCTAAGATGTTCTGTTCTTTTCTCTTTTTGATAATCTAGTTCTGTCACCTAGGCCATGAAGGTTGTAATAAGCTAATATGAAGTAATAACAATTGCCAATATCCTTTCATAACTTTATTCTCACTACTGTATTCCACTGTTTTATTGCCTTCATAACTCTGCACATCTGCATTAAGCCATCTGTGAAAAGCTTGACTGGCTACATATGGGACATCCAGAAGAGAACTTCTTTCAAACTGAAGTGAGGATTAGCTGAACTCTTTGTTCTGCAAGTCCAGTACATGCTGATTAAATGAATAATACAAGTACTGGGATTCCTCACCTCACATCTCCTGACCTTAAGTCAAAACCTGTTGTGTGATTGAATGATCTGGCCTGGCTTAACATTCTAGAAGTGATTTTTGTCGTGCAGCAGACCCTCTTGAAAATCAATGTCTGTAGTCTGTGGTTGGGCACGGAGCAGTAAATATGAGCTGTTTAGAGATGTACCCCAGCATGGTGAGGTTCCATGAAAGCATGGTAAGATCAAGTGACTTTACAATTGAAATTGGAATCAGCACAGCTGCCTTACAATGTGGCTTTTGTTCCATGCAGGATGTTTTATGTATGACGTTTTATTCCAAAGTCATACTACAATTGAAGTACTAAATAATAAAGGATGGAAAACAAAATGTATATTAAGAAGGGCAACTAAAATTTATGAAGGAGGCAGTGCTGTACTTCTTTTTTATTGCATTGGCACAAGCAGAACTAGAGCTACAGGAATGAAAATTTGTACAGGGAGAATGGTGAGAAACAGCACACACAGTGATACTGCTTACCATAAACATGCCAAATGAGCTCTGCTCCTCTAGATTTTTCCAGTTAATCTCTCTGCTGCCAGGTTCAAGACCATTGTTAGAATAGCCACAGAAACAAGAAAACACTCTCCTTTCTTTCAGGTAGAATAACAGTCCGGATTAACATTGCTTACATTTCTTTGTTTTCCATTCAGGAGCTTCCACATCAGCTGTACAGTAGATAGGTTTTGTGTGGTATATGGTTCAGAATTGGTGAATAGAACAGAAATCCCTTTTTTTCAGGAGAAGAAAATGTGTTCAACTTCCAATTCTGTTATTGGTGTGTCCAGTAAGGAAAGGCTATTATGTGCACTGCATTGAGACAAAGTGATTAGCAGACAGTATTAAATTCTAAGCTCTGTTTTTTTTCTTAATTTGTTCTTAATCAGATTTCTCATGTGGAATAGGACAATGTTCATCTGTACATAAAATATCAATATTCAGACATTAATCCACATGAAGATGTATTTAGTATTTGAACTGGATAGAAGATGACCTGCTGATTTGCAAACTGGGCTGTTTCTCTTACACGTACAGAGAACTTGCCTCTACTGTTGGTTCTTTGGCATAAGAAGCCTGAGCTGGAAATACTGATTTTGAAATTAGACCATGGAAACTATATATTTGTAGCTTTAGAAGAAGCATTCAGACTTGTTATTTGAGTCAGTTTTGGCATTTGTCTTGCTTTTTCTCATACGTACAGAAAGATATGTCTGTCTTCTGCATCGCCTTGGTTGTCTGCATAGCTTGCTTTGAGTATTACTTTGGTCTTGAAGCCAGACGTGCTGTCTGCAGTGGATAATGTATTTTCTCTTTCACAGACAGGCGTTGAGATTTTGCATCTGTTAATTTAGGTTTAACAAACTTGACTGTGGATGTCAGTGTCCATGCAGAGAGTACTCAGGCAAGTTTCAGTACTGAGTGTATGGAGAAATTAATGAAGTCTATATAAGTCATTACTCAACCTGCTGATCAGCAGAAAAGCATTGAAACTGACCTATAAAACAAAGCCTTGACATTGCCAAACCTACTGCCAAGAGCAAGTTCTACACTTCCCTACACAGTTGTTTTTGGATTCCTGAGGTGGCTGTGTTACCGAGCACCTCAACTTCCTTTATGTGGAAAGATCTGGGACATTTCTCCTCGTTTCAGTTAGTGAGCATTCACAAATGCTGCTGCTCAGGATCAGCAGTGGATTCTGGTGCCTGTGGTGATTTTAAATGCGTGCTCAGCACTGGTGAAAGCAGTTTGTAGCACAATACCTTACGTGAAGTGTCCTTCCTATTTGTTACTTCTGAGCAGCTGTGCACTCAGCTGAATGTCTGAGTCCCCAGTGAAAGTTTCCTGTCTGATTTTTGAGCTCTGGTTGGAAAATGTACCTTCCAAATAGTTGTTGCTGCTCAAAGGTTTTTTGGCAAAACCTCATCCATCTCTTGAGGGTCAGTAGACTCCACTCATAAATTGATCTTGAAGCCAGTTTTCTCCTACAACATCCTGCCATTTTAATGTTTGCCTGTGGCTGCCTGAATTCCTGCCTCCAACACTGATTTCACCATTACATTCTTCTAATCAGACAAAAAGTCACTTTTGGTTCAGGAACAGCCAAAGAACTTGCAGAAAAAATCCTGATGAGGTCATCAGAGTTCATCTGAACGAAGGTAAGAGCCTCCCAAAGGCAACTTTAACATAGATTAAATGTCTAATTCTATGACTAAGAATGTTGGGGGGAGGTTGGTCCACCATCAAACAAGTGGAACAAAGGAGAGAGAAGTTCACTTGTCCCAAATTAGTAGTGATTAAAACCTGCAAATTGATTATCACATTTCAAACAGACCTATGGTACTTTACATTGTAATTAATGCTATTTCTCTGCAGTTATATGCAGAAGCTCACCATCCACCAAAAGTCGTGTAACTTTTCTCAGATATGATGGAAATTGAGATAACATAGTCTCCATCCTTGGAAGTTTTCAAGACCGGACTGGATAAGGCCCTGGGTAACCTGGTCTGACCTCATAGCAGATACTGCTTTGAACAGGCAGTTGGAAAAGGTGTCTTCCTGAGGTCCCTTCCAGCCTAAATTATCCTGTCATCCTGTAGCAAGTCTCACCTTTTCAAAAAACTCACCTTAGAAATAAACTCACGTTTTGTAGCTATTTTAGGATCAAATATTGAACTGGAGATCATCTCCAGTACTATATTGGGTTTGTATCACAACAAACACATTGGCTGCTGAGTGCATCCAAATTTTGAGTGGCCCCTTATGGCTTCATGCACATGCGTTTTGGAGCCTTTCTAGCAATACAGTGTTTAGCAACAGAGTGAGTTTATAGGTGTGCCTTTAACTCTTTCCCTCCCTTTTTTTCACAGAATTATGTTGGCACTATAATATTAGGTACCTTAAATCAAGAGCATGGTGGGAAAATAGCTGGGCTGGGAGCAGCGTTCAGAAGACAGAGAAATTATAGCTGGAATTAAATGAGCCACTTCCTATAATAATAATAATAATAAAATCTAACCAAGTCCTCAAAAGAAAGCCTGAAGTGAAGCTTGTGATGTATCCCACTAATTTGCTTCTGTTCTTCCTCCTAAAGTCTCAAATGCTGCAGCATGGCAGTGTTACATGCTTTTTCTCCTGGAAATAAGCTTGTACTCTATGTGTATTAAAACCTTATGTCAGTCTTTATGTGCTGATGTGCTGCTCATTTGTGCCTGTGTTTTGCAGCTGTTCTGTCTTTTAGAGGTTTGATAGATCATTCTGCTCTCTTTTTAAGAAAGCATAGTAGGATTTTAGAGCTTCAAGGGTTCTTGAAGTACTGTTTGCTCTAATCAACTGATCTGTTGGTTAGCTCTGTAGAGTTTTTGGTGCCCAACAGAGATTGCTTTGGGCCCTTCAGTGGAAGGACCCTGACTAAACCTGGACTGAGGGCAGTGTGTTTTTAATTATGTGACCAAGTTCACGTACCCGTTTTGGATGAATAGCCCTAACTGAATATAGGCAAAGAAAGCCAAGTATGCAACCACCCTTATCCTTTGAAACTTGTTTCTGGGCTCTAAGTACTTTTTTCTTTCCTATCTGAGCAATACAGATTTACGTTATTGATGGTTGCTCATTGTGTCCCAAAGCAGAGTTAGTGGAGTGTTAAGGCACTCCTGTAAGACCGGTCTTGCACCTGTATATCATTCTTTCCTCTTTATTTGGTGATGATGGGATGACTAACTGTATAATAGAGAGCTGTACCTCGAAATGGGCATTGTACTGCTTCTTTTAACTTCTCCCATTGTTGTCTGTATCTCCTTAGGTGCCTGATCTCTACCAGCTAACACAGCCCTGGATGGATGCATAGCCAGGCCTGTGAGACACTTCAGGACATGCCTTCAACTTGCAGCTGAAAAAGGGAAGTTTCAATTGGAGAAAAGCACCCCCAGTTTTTTATTGCCTGCAAAAGTCGAGTGTATCACCAAGTGTGAATCTGCTCAGGTCCACTTTCTCCCCTTGGACAAGAGCCTGATTTCTTTGTTTCAAAATGCTTCTCTCTTCGGAAGACTCCATGAGGCAGGAAAAAGTTCTGAATTAATTTAAAACCAACTAGAAGTAATCACAGAGATTTGGGAGACTGAAATAACTGATGGCCCCTTTGGAGCGATGGGGCTATAGGCATTTGAACAGAAGTTCACATGCTCTATTTGAAGCTTAAACAACAAAAAAAATACTACGTGTATGTCTGATTTGTAAAATTTAATGTGCATACACATTTGTTCTCCATATAATATTCATAAATCTGTGTGTCTAAATACACATGCATACGGATCTGTGTGTAAAAATGCACACGAACTCTAGCGATTCCCACCTTTGCAGCTCGTGAGTTGCTCGTGGAAATTAGTTACTGAAATCCAACAGGAAAATGAAATAGTAATATTATGCTATTTAATTGGTATCAGCTGTTTTGTTGGTTTCAGCCTTTTAATATTGTGTTGACAGCGCACTCACCACTTGGTGGCATGTCTGACTCAGTGTGTGCTAGGAAGCAGGGTGATGCTCAAGGAGCACGATGTCCTGACCCGACTTTCACAGGCTGTGTCCCACAGAGGAGAGATTTGTCCTTGCTGTGAGAATTGCAGGTGAAGAGATCCAGAAGGAATAGCAACGAATACATCAAGCTCTAATCATTATCCTCTCAGAAGGAGTTTTTCTCATGCCCTTAACTCAGGTGAAGTGTATAATCAGGGAGAACTTGTTTTGCTACTGGAGACACCTGAAGAGAGCTTTACTTGGATGCTGATGAGAAACTGAAAAGTCACAGTCTCTACCAGGATATCATCAGGATTTGTTACAGGACTGGAATTACATATTTTGGCTATGGGATTCCATCCTTTTCTCCTGGATGTGAAGACCTAGCAGGGGCCTGATCTCAGAGGAGGCTGAGCTAGAGAATTCTGCAGGATTCTGGCACAGCCTTCACCTATGTGCCATTCTACTGGAGTGTATGCATACATGCACACTTGTGTTGCCTTTCTTTACTGTGCTGGCAGCTGTTAAATGTTGGTTTTTATGTTTAAGAAATTATATATATTGAAGTGCCAAATAAATGTTTGTGTTTGGAATTGTCTGCTGCCTACTCTCGGCTTCTCTTCTGTTCTGTGCATCAGCAACTGTGTGTCGTCTTTGTGTCACTTGGAGTTCAGGAGGATTGACAACAATGTAACGTAATGAAGACTCGATTACAGAGTAATTATTTCTGAAAACATGGTTCTGCTGTCCTGGGCCACTTGTAATGAGCAGATCATCAGAGCAGTTCAGAAACCTTCAAAAGTACGATGGCTGCTCTTGCAAAAAATCTATACATAAAGCACAGAAAGACTTGTACCTTGCTGGCCACTGTCCACACATTCCAAACCCAGAAAACAAGCAGAGTAACTCGTCTTTAGAGAAAAGCTCATGATGTCTATTTCTCTCATCAGTGAATGAAACTAAGCAGTGGTTTTGTGAAAAGGACTCCGCACGTTTCGATTTCTTTGTGGCCAAAGTGCTCTGCTTCATGCTGTAGCTGCTTCACTTAAGCCAGCTGCACTTGCAGGTTTTATCTGTGCAAACCATTTATTCTTGTTTCAAGGTAAGCATATAGCAGATGCTGACATTTTGCTTAACTCCATCCTCTTAGTAGCAGGACTTAGTCTTCTTGGCTAGACTAGTCTGTGAAGCGTGAGCCTTTCTCAGAGTTAAATCCTGCTCAGTGATTCTAGTCTGGCTGAGACTTGTCGTTAATACTGGCAGCCATCACTCCTTTCCAGTGTTTTGTGCTACCATTCAGTATGGTTCCTCTCTGGCTAAATGAAATCTGGGTCCAGCTTCCACTTTTCTGCTGAAATAATGGCTCTCCACAAGCCTTGTACTTGATCGTTCTCACCTGGTAAACCAGACAGAACTCTTACATAGTGGCCTTTTTAATTCTTGGAAACAAAATGGATTGCACTGGTTGACTTAGTCTCCTGAAGCTGGAATCTATTCTCTTTGTGTTTTCTTACAATGAGTAAGATGCAGATGCCATCACCTGATGATTTGTTATTTATATCTTAAAAAGCCATGAAGGAAAAAGTGAAGGATTGAGGTTAAAATTAGCCAGTAAAACAGTGGCTCCCTCAGAGCTCTGTGGATCTTATCCAGTTTGCCTTTCCTCCTTATTGGATTAAATGGAGAATGGAACTGAAATGGCTTTTTCTCTAGCCATCTGCCTCTGCGGTCCCTTCTGGCACACAAGGAGCTTGAATGAATTAGCAAAGAAATGCCTACTTAAAGACAGCACCTCCTTAAGCTCTGCCAAAAATAGAAGCATTAGTCACTCTTATTCTCTTATTCATTGACACCCTTTAGCCCTTTGCATTTTGTAGGCTGTGATGCCAAAAGGGAAAAAGGAAGACTCCAAGTTCTATTTTTAACTAACAGAAGTTGTTCAGTCTCATGGGTACTTGCCTGTTGGAGTCTTCCAGGCGCCCTGTGAAATCTCTTCTGGTTTTCTGTTCATGTAGCCCTTGGTGCCTACCTTACTGCAGAGTAGGGGAATGGTGATGCCTCAGCTTCTGTAGATCAATGTGCATTTCTTAAGCTGCTAGCAGATAGGGAAAACCATGTAATAAAGACTCTCTTTTTTATGTCACTAGGCTTTGTTGTCTAATTACAGCTTTCCTAAACTAAAGCTAGGTAATTACACTTGAAGTCTGCCTGGGCACTACTAGGTAAGTACAATGTCAGTGCTAAGCCATTTCATCCAGACCCATAAAATGCATGACTAGAATCATCAGTTATACTTACAATTATGCTTGCAGTTTTTATGTAATGTGGACTTTTCTGTATTAATTTCTTTCATGCTCACCACTATATCCTAACTTTAAAATTTCCTGTCAATGGAGTAACTGATCCTTACTGTTAAAATAGGGGCCTTCTATTTTGAGTACATCTATCTTCACTACAACCACTGAATTTTGGTATTCCTGTGTCTGTTAGGATGAAGCACTTCTGAGTTTTATTCCCTATATGTTTGTTAGAGGTGGCGATTGAGGGTTTACTGGTTTAGCAGATGTTTTTGTTGATAAGTTGTAAGAGTTGAATTTCAGTGTTTTTCATTATGAAGCATGTTTTCTGGTTTAACTTTTGTGGTTCTAATCTGAACCCTGTCCAGCTAATTATTTTTTTCCAGTTATGAGATTTTAACTGATAATAATGACGCCAGCAGAAGTTGCATCAATTAAAAACACAGAACATAACATGACATCTTTCTGTTTAGATTTTTCCTTGTTATATTCCGAGTACCACATTAGCCCATTGGCCCCAGTGCTGTACTGAATGCCAGTCTTCAGGTGATGATCTGTGGTGACCTGAACTTCATAAAACTCTTTGTTCCCATGATAGCCCTCTATCCTGCAGAAGATGAGAAATGGGGATGATACAGCTAACAACAGAAAGAATTGTTAATACGCAACGATTTCATGTTTGTTAGGCTCTAAACAATGATAGATGCTGTTCAACACTCCAAAACTCTCCACTCCACTCTCCAAACACTCCAAAAAATGAGTGTGAGCATTATAACAGTGGGTTTATATTCGGGTATTACAATGTAAGATTTGCATCGTTAGATTTGCCTTACACGTGAAGACCTGCAGTTTCTGCCTGTGTTTCCTGTTGCTGCTGACTTTGCTCTGGTTTCTTCTTTGCAGGCTGACAGCTGAAGAGGTAGAATCTATAGAGGCAGATACAGCCAACCGTTGGCAAGGAGTCTGCATTAGCAGGGCATCTCCCACACCATCAGAATCTGCAGCCACTGTGAAGTCGCTGATAAAATCATTTGATTTAGGATGTTCAGGTATGCTGTATACTGTAGTGGGGTTTTTTTCCTTCTTTTTGAGTGATAAATATGTATTTCTTGTCATTTTTTTTTGTGTTGCTGCTTAGTGGAAATGTTCTGTCAGTGCTTGGTTCAGACGTACTATCTGTGAAATGTCACTGTGTCATTGGTTCCCTGCTCTGCTGAGAGGAAGATGGCTGGTTTTGAAACACAATCGTTTCTATGCTTTTTCTTTAAAGGTAGCACTGGACAAAACATCACAGTTCAAAAGGTCCCTAGGAGCCCTCTAAGTGGAATTCCAGTGAGGACAGCCCCTGCAGCTGCTGTTTCCCCCATGCAGGTACGAGGAACTCTTTCAATCACTGGAGAGCTTGAATGGATAGATGCCATGTTTGAATGACACAGCTTCAGTGTGCCAACATATGTATGTGGACAATGGGAAAGGGAAACTCATCTGTTTATTTGCTGTGGAACATCAAATGCTTTAGTACTAACAAAAAGGATCAAAGTTTGCTTTTGACTTCGGTTTAGAGGTCTCAGTGGACGGATGTGAACTCCTTGGAATACAGTTCTGAACTTTAATCATAGTTATCTAGAAATTAAGTTTTAGTTATTGGTAGTAAGAATGAAAAACATCAGCATGAGTATGATGGCTAGTATTTTTTAATTCTCTTTTCTACATTTTTTTATTTCACAGAGACATTCTGTTTATAATAACACAAAGCCAGCCAGCAAAGGTGTTGTCAAGCACACAGATCTTTCAGACCTTCCACTTGCAGGTAAATTGCAGTAAATGTACAAATATTGCTGCTTTTGCCAGCATTGTCATTAACTGTTAGTTCTTCTGGGCCACTTTTCCTCTTCACATATGGTCAAAGAAAACATGAAAATATGTCTTTAGAGTCTGTCTTAAGGAGCTTATTGATTTTGTCATGTTTCCATTCCCATCTTGATTGTAGCCTTAGAAAAAGAAAAAAAAAAAAACAACTGATGCTCTAGGGTTTGCCAACACAAACTTGCCCTCTTTATTCCAAAGTATCCATGGCACCTCTCTAATCCATGCTGTGGAACTGGAGAGGGTTGAATTTTGTTCAGTATATGTGTGTTTGGAACAAGTCCAAAACACTGTCTTTTGGGGACCTGAATATTTTTGAATTGAGCTTCATTTGAAATACATCAAACATTTCAGATACAGATGGGACCATTTTAGGAGCAGTCATGTTTGGGGTTGAAAGAGTTTGTTTTGAGAGTTCTCAAGAGATGCACTTGTTTTTGTTTCACACTTTTGTTCTCTTAAAATTCTTTTTTACTAATTTTTGTTTCCCCTTTTCTCTGGGGCTCTTTATTTTGCTTATCTAGTCTTGAATTTAGTTACTGAACTGGAATTGAAGTTGGTACCAATAGATGACCAAATCTGTGAGGACAGATGAAGAATTATATTCATGTAGTCAAACTGAAACTATAGGGAGAGAAAAAAGAATCAGTCAACTTCTTCAGTGGTAGATTGAATTTTCTGCAGTAAGTTTGCTAATACAGGGAGAAATTGGAACCCACTTTCATTTTTAAACTCTTCAGATACTTTGGTAAAATGCCCTTTCCTCCATTCAAAAATGAAAAGATACCGGATCTGAACAGCAAAACAGCTTACAGGGATGGCAACATAAACAACATCTTGTCTGTGCTACCAGCTTCTGTATGAGTAAATGGTAGTCGAGCAGAGGTTATTAGTGGAACAGATAGTTTACTTAGATTTATCAATTGATTTCCAGAAAATCTCTTGCATGAAAATATGCTCTGATCCTACACAGAGCACAAGACTCTTAAAATCTCTATCAATTCATTCCATGGTGAAGCAATCTGTCAACTGTGATGTATTTCGAGTCCTTAATAATACATATCCCAGGTCAGGATGTGGATAATTGCTGTTATTACCTATAAACTATTGTTCTATGGAAATCCATTGAAATCAACAGATATTTGATTAACTATTGTGTGTTAAAATTTATGGTCACTTACCTAATGACTTCCTATGTCTATCATTTCTCTTTGTACCTGGATTTGATTTAGCCCCAGTAATTCATTGCAAATGCTTTCTCACTATGAAGTTGTAATAGCTCTGGTTCCAATCTAAATAACCCTAGAAGGCAGTTGATCCAAGTCCTGTGCAAACAAGACTGAATTAAAAAATATCCCCAAGGAAATTCAGAGTTGAAGTAGTCTCCATGATAATAATCTTCTGGCTGATTCTATCTGACTAATATTACAGCAGCGTCCTGTGATGTCCTTAATCTGACCCAAATGTGCTGTGGTTGAAGAGGAGAGTAGATTACTTTGCAGAGAGAGATGGTCTGAGTATGATCTTTTCAGTTAGAATCAGAATTTGACTGATTCTGTCCTGGAGTTTCTAGCAGCATGAAGCAAGTCAGAAGAAGTGTATTATTCATGCAAGTGAGACACAAAGTACAGAGCTGGATAGCATTGCCTGCACCACTTCAGGCACTTCTGTATAATTTAAGCCAGTAACCACAAAGTTTGTTTTAGTTCATGCAAACTGATCATGCTAACAGGATGTGATTTTTTTTTCCATAATCATGTTGCGTATTTTTCATGTGATTATTATCCCATTGCTTTTTCCAAATTGCTCCTTAATATGCCCTCATCTCTCCCTTCTTTTCTTTGTAGCTATGTGCTTCCAATAGCTTTTATTCCTGTCTGGGAGCCATCCTTTTCTTTCTTGCACCATGCTTGAATGCATCCTGAATGGTTGGCTCAGCATTTCCTATTTGAATCATGCCATTAGCCAAGCTCAATTATGCTAATGACAGTTTAACTGTGCACTTCCTTACAGGCTAGTGAGAAACCTTCATTCCTCCTCATAATATTTGGTTTTATTTATTGATATGCCCTTTGTTGTAGATCTGTTTCTCTAAACAGAATATTCTAAAGTATGAAAAGGTTCCAGAGCCATCTGGAACAACGTGCTTGTCTGGCAAATGCTGTAACACTTCTGCTGAAAATAAATGTAGGAACCGATGCAGTGATAGTACACTTTGCTGAAACAAAGATAAGAAGAGGAATTCATACACTTAGGCATTAATTATTTAATAATTAATATGGGGAAGTAACTGAAAAGGAAGAGAATATTAAATGATCTGCATTCACTTAATTTTTGATAACAACTCATAGTGTGCTGCTCATAGATTCTGGCTTGTTGACAGCTTGTCTGCAGAAAAGAAAACACCAGTTTTCCCAATATTACCCAACACTCTACTTGATAATTGAGAGGCATGAAGATAATTTGATTTCTATGATCTCCTTGGCTTCTGTTCAAAAACTTATCAACTTTGGATTCCATGTCTACTAATTTTGTGGATTTTATATATATAACCATATAATAAAAACAATATATAATATATGTAAATGCGTAATAGATGTAAATAATAATAATAATACAGCTGCATTTCCTATGAACATATTGAGAGCTCCCAAAGTCATATTACATAGGATGGCAGGCATCGTGTGCTAAAAAATGCCTTTTACTGCTGCCTTGAACTGGTTGCATTCAGGAGCGAAGAGGCTTTCATGTTACATGTCTTGTGGTGGCAGAGAAAAGCAAGTGTTATACTAGGGCTGGTCAGACCTCTGGTGAAGATATCTGGTAATCATCTTTTGAACATTTCAGTTTGTAGATTTTGGTATTTCCCCTCATTCACCTGAGGCCCCTACCCCCCAGCAGGAGTATCAATCACAGGAAACCAGGCAGTCCGTATTGTTGAAGTCATCAAAGCCATTCCTTGTTATGATCACCTCTAATCTGCTCAAGGTTTCCTAGCCCCATGTGTGTTTAATGAACAAATGAGTACATTTGTTTAGAATCAAAACAACAGACTGCATATTGTGTGCTGGGTGGCAGGACAGTAATTAATCAAATTCCTCAGACTGCAAGCTGGCAGCATTTTTTTTTTTCTTTTTCAATTCCCACAGACCTTCTGAAGGGGAGAAACGAAGAGCTGAAACCGGACCATTACCTCCGAAAAAGCCCCTCCCTGGAATCCCTGAGCAAACCCCCTAAGGCCTTCAGCAGCAGAATGCTTAACTCTACCCCCAGCAGCTTGAAACCCCAAAGCAAACTCAGGTACCAGCTAAGTCTCCTGGGAAAAACAGCACACTGCACAGATTTGATGTATTATCTGGAACCAAGACTGATGTTTTAATTAACAGACTCTTGTCTCCAGTAGAAAGCCTGCTGGCTAGTCTGTCTAGCTCTGAATTACCAGACTGTATAAACTATACTAGATTCAAATTTCAAAATTCAGACTATAGTAAAAACAATTATCTGTAAGATGAGCAATCATGACAAAATGAGGATAACAAATTTTCAGGAGCCATTAGTTGTATGCCAGAATACCATCATTATCTTACTGTAGCTTTGCACATTATAGTGAGTTAAAAGCTAAAAGCTTTGAGGCCTACAGGAGAGCCAGATAAATAATTTTCCTCTGATCTCCACCATTATTCTCAAAAGTAAAAGCTGTAGGGTAGAGACTATGCAGATTTTGATTGTTGGCCTTTAACAGTCCTCTAGGCCTTGACAGCAGTACAGGCTGCAGTTATTTCAGTTAAATCAAGTGTTTGTTCTGCAGCACCTCAATTGGATGCTAATTGGTGTTACAGATTCTTTAAGTAGGATATTTGCTCTGAAGGCTATAACAATTTGGTTTCCATTTGGGTTCTGTGCTGCCATCCTATTTTGTCATATGGATATTATTTCAGTAGCACTGAATCACACAAGCCACTGATTAGTCCTTAGGTACAGGGGAACAGGTTTTGCATGGGGAAGAGCAAACAATCTTCCTTTCACATGTTTGAGGCCAAGTTTGGTGGAGCCATGCACAACCTGATTGAGCTTTTGAACTGGATAATGCTTAAGGTCCCTTCTGACCCCAACCATTCTGTGATGAAGCCTCCCACATTTTTACCTCAAATCCAAGTTGCTGGATTGACTTTATGTACAGGAAGAGCCTGAGATGAGATCTGGCTAGAGAATCATCAGACCCCCTGCATATCGTGGAGATCTTCAAGACCCATTTGGGTGCTATTCTGCTCAACCTCCTGTAGGGAACCTGCTTTTAGCAGGGAAGTTGGACTCAATTATCTCCAAAGGGCCCTTGTAATCCCTATGATTCTATGATTCTATTTATAAATTGGGGGAGGGAGAGGAAAAAGAGACTTAAAATGTATTTTGTCTTCTTCTCCCTTCCGCTCCCTTGGATCAGTGTGGAGAGAAAGGACCCGCTGGCAGCCCTAGCCCGGGAGTACGGCGGTTCGAAGAGGAACGCTCTGTTGAAATGGTGCCAAAAGAAGACTGAGGGCTACCAGGTACATCTTCACTTTTCTCTAGAAAATAATTCATGATATTTTTTTTTTTTTGTCTGCGGGAAGTAAGCAACATCATTTCAAAGAAATACGTGCATTTCAGTCTGCTGATTTTTACCTTTATTTCTGCTGGATGTTTCTGTCCTTTTCCTTCAGATTTCTTTAGCACTGCAGTCCCTGGTATCACGTTGTTGTAAGTTGTGCAAGGTGAAATGTTTCCTGCATCAAAGACAACTGATGTTCAGAATTAGTGTGTATGAGCAGCAGCTTCAATTTGATACCAGTTTTTGAAATGACTTTTAATACATTTTTGTGTGTCACAAAATTTACGTATTTACTGGTGTGGCCTTGACAAAATTGCACTTTAGGATGCCACTCTTTCTCACCTGCTGCAGTTTAACAGAATTCTGCAAAGCGAGTTTTGACAGTTTGAGAATATGTAATTTCTTTGTGCAGTGATTTTTCACTGCTAAACAGGCATTAATTTTGTCCAGTTCTTGTATGGCTGTTGCTGTGCTCATTAAGCTCGGACTCCTGTTTGTACACAGATAAGTTAGACCTTTGATTCTGTTTGTAACTGAGCTGGAGAAGGCAGTTTTAGACAACAGTTCATCCTGTGCTATATGCTGGCTGAGCAGGACAGTCTTGGTTTGATATAATGTTGAGATTTTTTTTTTCCTTAAGAAAAATATTGTTTGTTACTTAGAACAGAGGACAAAAACAGTTATCACCACATGATATGCACCCTGGAGCATGTCTTTAATAAAAGCAGAGTCCAACTTTTAAAGTCAATAATATTTTTTTCTTCACAACATCTCTTTATGAAGCATTAGCTACAGGGGGCAGAAGATTGGAAGGAAAGACAGTAGCTTTTCCTTTAATAAACCGATCTATAGAAGTTCAAGTTGTTTCTTAGCACTGGCATATCTATCTGATTTGCACAAACTCCAGAGAAGGACAATCAGCAGAGAAAGCTCTTGGCTTCAGGCACACCTTGCAAGCACTAAAGCCAAGGTTAGATTACCTCCAATCATGCGATGCTGCCTTAGCGCTGTTCTGCGATGTTGCATCCTCTGCTCTGTTGAATTTATACTCTTTTGTATCTCACCTTCTGAAATTCTCCTGGTCTTTCATTAGAACGTACTGGGGGAATATTTCCATCCAGCATTCAGAAAATGATTGGCAAAATGCAACTTTCCCAAGCCTAAATTGTATTAAGCCGGAAAAACCATCTCTCGGGTTAGACTTTCTCCTGATGGCGTTGTCTTTTTTTGTTGTTTTAAATGTCAGATATAGTGAGTTTCCTCCACTTCTCCTAAAACAAACAAACTCATCAGAGTTCACTGTAAGGGAGGCAGTCTGTAGTTTCCTTTGTATAGTTACACCCAGGTGGGACTAATGGTAATACTTTCAGAAATTGTGTGGCTTTGTGAACACACAGGCCTGGTGCTGTAGGTACCAGTCTGGTAACTAGAGTGACAAGTATTCCCTCTGTGACAAAGTAGAAAAGGAATTTTGTTTTTCTGTGCTGAACCCAAGTGGTGGAGCTGTGTATCAGATAGCAGGCCACACAGGAGGTATGCAAGGCAGTCTATTTGTTTTTCCTTTTGGTATCAGCCTCTGGAGGAAAGTATGTCCGTGGGTCAGAGGACAACGCGTGTCTTTGCTTTATACGTGGCTGCTGGATGTTTAGATGATGTTTCAGGAAAAAAAAACTTTGCCATTTTGATTCCTGCTCTGATGAGATTCCTGTTGTGCCGGTGGCTGTCCTCCATCATTACCATTTCTAATGCAGCAGAATGAGTCTTCGGCAGTTTTCAGAAAGAGCAGGGATGGTGCTGACAAACACTGTAAGCCAGGAGAGCCCGAGAAATTCAGTTCGTGATGTGGGGGACCCTCATTGCTCAGAGCATAAGATTTCAGAGTAGAAATTGAAATCAAATGAACCAAAGGATAAACAATTCACTGATTTATGGTGAGAGTCTTGCCTCTCTATCCTTATTGCTTCACCTTGAAGCATTATCTCTTGGACATTCTTCTTCAGACTTTTGTTTCCATCGTGCCCTCTGTGGTGTATTCACTGACTTTTCTTGAACTGGCTTTTCCCTGACCCTTGCACTCATATGATAAGTCTGATATTAAGCTCCACAGGGAGTTTTTTTTCATTCTTGAGTACAAAGCCCTGGAGTGGAGTAAAGAACGTCATCCTCCTTCCTGCCTTACTCGCAGCTCTGGTGGGAATGAAGTAATGAACTTTAGCAAGCAGAGCCCTGATGACATGCATGACTCTTTTCTGTGCGTAATATCCTTGTCTGTGAGGTATCATCTGTGCAAGTTCCTGTATATTCTGTCATGGTCTTTCTAACATGAAGCCCAGAACCACAAGTCGCTTTGGATGTAAGCTATTTTCATCCTGGTGACGCAGTGGAAGGAGAGAAAATGAGACTTGATGCTTAGCTGCCTAACTTCTTTTTTCCATTGACTCCATGTACTGCCTTCCAACATCTAATATTGACAATTATAATGTGAGCTGGCGAGGAGGAGGGGAATTCCTTTCTGTTTATATTGTGGAGATACCAGATTTCATTAAATGATACTAGTAAAATGAATTAGAATAACCAATATGCTCATGAGCTTCTACTACCCGTGTCCCAGATTCCTGGGCGAAAGCTGGATTAGTGACCTAGGAGAGTATTTGGGGATAAGACCTAGGGACCAATGCACGAGGCTCCACTTTTAAATGCTTTAATCCATACAGGGCTTATACTATAGATAGAAATTTACATCCTGCTGCTGGCATATATCCTTACACTGACTACAGTGGAACATTCCTTGGCTTTTAGCTGCAGTGTGCTGTCCCCCTGGAGGCAATCTCATAAAACAAGAGAGGAACACTGGAGGGAGTTGAGAGAAATGCGACATAAATGAATGTTGGCCTGGAGAGTTTGATTTGTTTTTGAAAAAAAAGATTAAAAAAAATATTGCACGAGTTTCCAGTAACTGAGAAAAAACATGAAAGCATCTGTGACTCTGATCTGCTACCATTTCTAAGATCCTTATTCAAACAGTGATTGATATTAAAAAAGATACGAATACTAAGGAGAGAGTAATTATTTAGAAAGTGAAGAAGCTCTAGAATGAAAATAAAGTTGAAGTTCAGCTTAATGGCTGAAAGAAAAAAAAAAAAAGAGATGTCAAACACTATGGTATGTTCTACCATATGATTTCAGTTGTTATATTTCAATGCTGGGTGAATACCTTCTGGCATCTTAGGCATTGATTTTTGAATAACCATGCAGGAGAAGTGCTAAAAAAAATGGTAGCAGCAAGAAGAATAAAAAGTGTGAAATAAGGCTTTGGCTTTGGGTTCAGCAGCCTTTTGCAAAACCTCCCTGGGAAAAAACTCCAGCTTGGAAAAAAAAAACCAAACCCCCTTAATCTGAAGTATGGTTCCCTGTAAGAATTTTGCACTGGCACATCTCTTTGGCTGGACAGATACAGACTGCTCCTCCTTACTCTGTGAATTTGCTGATATCGTGGTTTATAATGTGATGAGGGTGATGAGATGACCCAACTTGAGTACTGCTTTTGTGGTTCCGAAGCTCAATTACTACAAGTCCTTTCAACCACAGAGCCTGCTGAGAGTAAGTCATTTGTGTTAAAATAGCTCTTGTTCTGTTGTCTAGTGTTTTTGTTGTTGTTTTTTTTCATTTATTTTAAAGTTATAATCATAGCAACAATGTGAAGCAGGAGGTGGGTGCCTCTGTTCTCATAGGCTCTGTTCCCATGAGCTGTAACTCCTGGAAGCTGCTGAAAGTCATTCTTGTTGCATTATCACCTCCCATAATGATATCATTAGTGACTGTGGTGTTATTTGAGTGCTCAGGTTCTATTTGCTCTCTGTGGAGACCATTTGTCAAGAGTCCAAACCTCTCTAGATTAAGTCTATTGCTATCCACAGATGTGCTGTGAACACATGGAGCATAAGAGGCACTTAACCCACCATCGTTAGAGTTCAGGATTATTGTTTCTGCCACATACTCTCCTTAGAGAGGGGAGGGAACTTCTGCCATGTTAATAAATATCGTTTGCTTAGAAGCACTGTTCACATTTTTTCCAGCAGCCATGCCTCCGTCCTATGGCACAGAGGAAAAGAGAACCTGAGACTTTTCTCTAAAAGTACCACTGTGGTAATTAGTTTAAGCAATATTAAAGTGAGCTTAATGGGACCCATTCAGGATCTGCTCCTTGAAGAACTACCATCCTTTATAATGAAGCCATCTGTGTGGTTGTCTTAAGTAGGGGAATGTGAAATAGGAGGTGGTGAAGAACAGACAGGAGGTGGCTCTAGAACAGACAGGGGAAAATAGCAGCTATACCTCTGAAGACGTTTTTCTTCCATAGTTTCCCTGCCTGTGCATGCAAGCCATTGCCTTGTAACATGACAACTTATGTAACTTATGCACTTCTGCTCACATATAGGGCAGTGCCACCCAATTTCATGCCTCTGGAAGAATCACACCGGCATGCAGAAAGTCTTTAGTAGCATGATATTTACCTAACTTTCATAGCTGCTTCTGGAAAAAGGAATTCCTTTTCATTATTCTGCACAAAGTGTGCTAGCAACTATGAGCAAAGCTAGAAGAAAATGATTTATTTGTTTCCCTGCCTTATTTGGAGTCACTTAACATTGCAGTAAGTTCCAAGAACACTGTGCTGTTTCAAAAAGTATTCTTAGGAGCATGTAGAAACTATTTTTAGGGCAATACTCTCTGACATTGTATTGTTTGGTCTGAATTAGCAAAATACAAAAATCTGTACCCCCAGCATCTTGAATATTTGTCTGGAAAGTTGTGAATTGTTTTCTGAAGCTTCAATTTCTTAAGACACAGGGAGTTTTAGGGCTCTGGTGAAATATCCTAAGGGTATCTGCGTTCTTCGTATCTTCTAGAAATACAGAATGGCATGGAGAAGAGTCTGAGTACTTCAGCCTTCGTCTTGTG